GGGGGGGGCACACTTCCACGACCCGGTTTTCTTCTACTTCCCTACGATCGGCAATCCCTTGAAATACTCGACTTCACCATGAGACCGTGACACCGCACCGTACCTTTGCTTGTTGTTGTTGTTGTTGCGGTCGCCGCTCCTCCTACAACACCTTGCGTGCCACGTTTCTTAGTTGGCGTTGGCGTGGATTCAATAGAGGTGGAGGCGGTCGTGCCCGTCACCTCTGGCACGGTCACAGTCACAACTCCTAGCTGCTCTGGCGGCCCCATGCTGCCTTGGCTCACGTCGTAACTTCCACCGCTAGTCCCACCGTCACTCATAGCTCAACCACAACTATTCAAAACAGAATCGACAAATATCCCGAACGAGCTCAAATTAATAAACCGAGGCAAGGCGCCGGCGCAAGGTAGGGATAAGTGACACAAGGAACAGGGTGAACACGAACCACAACAATAGGTACAGTCGTTCTGTGAGCGAAGAAGCTGATGCACGCTGGACGCACTTCAATCCACACTGAGCCAAACTACTGCGCTGCACCGGGACTGACTGGACTGCTGTGGGCGGCTGCTTGGGTGCCGATAACTGAGACAGCGCTCTGTGTGCGACGTCCGATGACAGCTCGCCGCATCGCTTCTGCTCGCACTGCACGCGTCCCTTCCCCTCCCCCTCTCACATTTCACTCGCCATTTCTCTTGTACGATCGGTAAATATAGGAAGCTTGTTCTTGGCAGGGCACTACTGCTTGCTATAGTTCCGAATCGCCACCCACCCTACGCCGTGGCCACGTCGCGCGGTGGGGCACATCGCGAGTTCGGAATTCCCCCTTTTCTGCCCGGGCCCGGCCTGGCCTGGCTGGCCCGCCGCCGCCCGCCCGGCCCGGCCCACCCGGATCCCGGCCGCCGGAGAGCCAGGCAACCAACCACACACAGTCAGTCTCGGCTCCGGACTCGGACGCTGCTTCGGACGCGAGCAGCGCCAGAGTAGGCGAGCAGCGCCAGAGTAGGCGAGCAGCTTTGCTCGCCAATAGCTCATGAGCAAGAGTAGCTCCTCCTCGCAACAATACTGATAGCGGTCCCGCCGCGCCGACCAGGCTTTGCTCACGGTGCATGGCCCTATGAGCAACTTTGCTCACAGCCCCGGCTCGCAGCGCGTTGCTCTCACTGCTCGCTCGTTGCAGGGCTCTAGCAGGGAACCACTGATGCCGAACAGTATTATCTTGTTAGCATGAATGATGAGGAAGGGAAGGCAATCCCCAACACTTACTAGATGATGCCGAAACCATAGTTGTTTGTAATCTATTTGTATGAAAAGTCTAGTCACACCTTGTTATTTAATTCAGTCTTTTTTCAAAGGGCCAGTATTTTTTTTTTTTATGTTTTGTTATTTTGGTGATAGGGGTACTGGTGTGCCTGATAAGAAAATAAATTTCATACACAAATTACATATTTATTTTAATTATTGAAGACATTGAGGATGTATTACAAATTACTGGTTTACGAACTGGATTAATTCTTGCAATTCTTGCTGGGCAAGGATCCTGAGCTGGGGTTGAGGTACTTCGGGAATATCCACATCCTCAAAAACATCTTCTGGATCTGGTAACACAATAGGCTGAGGATCCAGGACATTATGCTGTCGCACAAAATTGTGGAGGACAGCACAAGCGTTCACAATGCCACCTGCTTTAACTGGGCTGTAGTGAAGGGTCCGGTCATTTAAAAGACATCTCCACCTAGCTTTTAGCAAGCCAATACAGCGCTCAACTTTGCTGCGTGCTCTGCAATGCAGCTTTGTGTACCTTCCTTCAGGTGTTTCTGGAGTTGCATGAGGTAGAGGGAGCTGCATCCATGGCTCATATGTATATCCCGAATATCCAAGTAGCCAACAGTGGTTATTCCAATATGCCTCTTTCATTATGTCGCGTAACCCACTCTTCTTAAAAATGAATTTATCATTGCAGCTTCCTGGGTAACGTGCATCAATACTCATAATATACAAGTTGGTATCACACACCTGTGGACAAATATCACCACAATTCTAGTTTGTTCAACATACTGAAACACACAGCAGAGGCATGGACTTTAACTTACCACTTGGACGTTGAGAGCTGTGTACCCCTTTCGACAATAGTACCCTTCTCTGAACTCTGCCAACTTTGGGGGAAATATTTTGACAAGAGTGCCATCTACCAGGCCAAGCACTCTTGGTAGTCCAAGTAACCCATTCCTGTAGTACAATATTTTGTCATACAAGGACATCTCAATCCAACAAATTATACTGAAATAGTCAATTACCTTGCAATTGTTTCCTCCCACTGTGCAGGAGTATTTGGAAAACGAATAAACATGGACATAACTTGAGGTGTGTTAAAAACATCTCGACACTTGAAAACTATAAACCCGTAGTTCACCAGGCCTCCGTACAAACCCGTACTTGGCCAGGCCTTCGTATAGACACGTAGTTGGTCAGGCC